GCCACAAGGAATCCTCACTTTAAAAAAAGGAAAAGGAAGTTAATTTCCCTACCTTGGAATGTGTAGGTTTTCCCAGCATTTGTAACGCCATATGTAAAAATAAGACGATTGTATCCATCTAAGAAATCTTGCACTGGTTGCTTCATGGCACCTTCAAAAAATTCTTCTTGAGTTGTTTCAGGTCCAAACACCTGAGCATAAACAAAACGAAGATGTTTCTTGGTAAAGCAATCATTATAGATTTTTAAATAATCTTTTAAACTCTGTATGTTTCTAATCTTAGACTGCTGACAGATTAAAAATATCATTTAATACCAAGCAAACTAGTGAAGTTAAACAACTTTTTCTAGGAATAAATGAAAAACTTTTAAAGACAAATCATTTACTCGTGAAAAAGTGAACTTCTGCATCTGTCCAACAGCTTTTTCACTCAGTCGACTCAGAGAAGTTTTGGGGTGCTTCAGTATGACACTTGTTGAATCTTCAAGTGAAACGCAGCCCTATTAAAAGGAAATACAAGCAATGAGGCATGAAAAGAGCATAAAAAGCTCAGCTTATAGGAAAATAAAAATATCGCCATCTGTTTTATTTTAAAACTAGATAGATTTCACACCTGCAATTCATTTTCTCTTTCCAACGGTGTAAATGGCCTAACACGCAGGCAAACTTGTATGTGTCCCTTAGGCTCCAAACTGCTCCTCTTAAATTAAAAAATAAAAAATAAAGAAGTTAGAAATTCAGCGGATTCTTTGTTTGATTACTAGCATGTTCAGGCAGTTTTATTTCCATCGGACTATTTCAAACAGACGCATTTGATGACATGGGAAACCGAAATAATTCACTACATCAGGATTTACAAGTGCGTAGGTCCCTGCAGAAGTTCTCTGTGATAACTTGAGAGCGAATAATCTTGCAGCACATATACATCCACTACATGCAGGCCGACTAGAGATCAAGAATGAAACCCACAGAACAATTCAATGATGAAGCTGCTCTGAACCGGCAATTGGCCTCATTCACAGAACGCAGATGCACCTAATAAGGTATCAGTGCAGAGACACACAACTTCATCTAATCCTATGCATCTCCTCCAAATTAAAAACACACTATTTTTTATCTTCTCTGTAAAATTCTGATTATTAACAATGAATGGACTAAGCTTATTAAAAAAAAATAAATAAATATGAAAACATTAAACTTTTTTACCCGGCTTGGGTCTGAGCTTGAAGAAAGCAAAGAAAAGTCAGCAGAGAGATTTGCTTTAATATCTTCCACATCCACTGGTCCTTTTCTTTGAGGCAGTTCAACAGTATCAATATAGGACGGTCTGGGAAATTTCTCATTGTCAGTAAGTTCCATCCTGCAAGATAAAATAAAACTATTATCTAAAACTATTAACGCTGAGGAAGCGTTGCCTATTTAGGCATTATGACATTTTTGTTTCCCCCAGCAGAAAACCTGAAACGTGTTCAAAAGTGTCAAAACAGTTAACAACTCACTCTTCCTATCGAGCCCGTTAGAGGGTAAGAGGCAGACAAGAACTTCATGGAGCTAAACAGAGCACCAAGCTGCCAACGAGGCAAAGCTATGCCCAAACCAAACAGCAACGTTTACTTTTGCTTCTTCTAATCGACAGCTTTTATTTTTGTCAGGCAACTGTATGAAAAACTTGGCTTGAAATATTATCACAGCTTAAACAAACACTGACCTGTGAATAAGCTGCTACAGGAAAGAAACTTACCTGTGCTGTCAGGATCCAGAAGTCTTATTCATCAGCAAAGTCACACTGCAACACTCCTATCAGGCTGTAACAGGAAACAGAGTTGTTAGATAACTGACAGTTGCTTCCAATTATAAGCTTATATTGAAGTGATTTGTCAAGATTATGCTCTCATTGTGTACCTTTTTAAGAAAGAAAGAAAAAGTGTACGTTAAGCTCTGTATGCAAAGCTGGAATAGAAAGCATTGAGAGGCACCCAGCCCTCAGACCCCCCGACTGCATGAAAACCCCACGATACACACTGTCCGTCTGTCCCCACGCTGTCAGACAGCACTACAACTACTTTCTGGTGTAAACAGGCATACCGCCTGGCTGCAGCCACTAGAAGGTACTTGTATACTGGGGTACGTTGTTGTAACTGCTCCTCCTGACCACACAGTTTGGAGCTGCAGACACCCGAGGAGATGGGGACCCTGCATGACCCACACAGCCTGTGGCACCATCAGGCAGCAAGAGAAAGGGTAGAAAAGGCTCCAAACGTGGCAGCTTATATAAAACATAACACACCAGCCCTTACACTTAAAAATTTTCAAAGGGAAGCCTTTTGCCTGGAGGCTGTGCGCTGTTCCCCGTTCTGAGTGGACACCGCCGCACGGCTTTGCCCAGGCCTGCCGTTACCCGCAGCTTGCAGGGCCCCACGCCCGTACAGAGAAATCTCCAATACACGCCCCCCGTGACTTCTCACCCGCCGTAACGGGGCGGAAGCGGTGGCAGCGGCGAGGGAGCGATAGGAGGAGGCCTCGGCACCGCCCGCCAAGAACGCCGCCCGCCCTGCGTCCCGGCTCCGCGACCCCCCGGGCCGCGACCACCGCCTCCTTCCCTCCTCAAGCGAAAGCCCCACAGCCCGCACGGGCTTACCTGAGAGCCCAGGCCGCGCTGGGCGAGCCCGACCGCCGCCACCGGGTGAAGGCCGCACCGTTGTCCCGCGTCCCCCCGGCCAACCGATACCACCCAACCGGCACGGGGCAACCGGCACGGCCGCGGCTGCTTTTCAAATCCAGCCAATGGCAGTGCGCGGCGCCGCGCGGCCTTCTGGGAGGGCGGGCGCAAGGCCCGACGGGAAGTGTAGTTCCGGTGTGGAAGTGAGAGCGGGGCCGCGCCGGGGGAGGTTTCCTCTCAGGCGGCGGCTGGGCTTTGCCGTGGGAGGGGGCTGCGAGGAGGGGTGTTTACCGAGACGCCGCGGCCTGCTCCTTCAGCGGTAGCAGCACCTCGGCTGCCGCGGGAAGGCGCCCTGGGCCCGCCGGGCCTGCCCCGCCGTCCGTCTGCAGCGCCCGGGCTGTGCCTCCCTCAGCTCTGGCAGCGGGATACGCCTAAGTGCAAGCTTGTCGCTACTGCGGGGGATGCTGTTTCCACAGGCCGAGAGGCAAGCTGAGGCCTTGCAGCCTGTGTATATGTGCCAACAGGGGAATGGCTGTTGGCAGGCGGTGGAAGGGAAGAGGCCCCGTGCCCCCCCTCCAGCTGCAGGTGCCCCACATCAGAGCGGGGATGGGCAGAATTGGGAAAACCCAGGTTTGAGTTGGGGCTGGGCCTGTTCCTCACGCTGGGTGATGATACTCACAGCTGTGGAGAGCACTTAGTAAGGTATCTTTGCTTAAAACCTTCCCCGGGTGGAAATTTACCTGGGCGTGTTGGTCGACTGTGGGCTGAACAGGAGCCAGCAGTGTGCCCAGGCGGCCAAGAAGGCCACCAGCATCCTGGCCTGTGTCAGGAACAGCGTGGGGAATAGGACCCGAGAGGTGACCATCCCCCTGAACTGGGCACTGGTGAGGCCTCACCTCGAGTACTGTGTCCAGTTTTGGGCCCCTTCCCACAAAAAAGACCTTGAGGCGCTTGAGCGGGTTCAGAGAAGGGCAACGAAGCTGGTGAGGGGTCTGGAGAGTAAGTCTTATGAGGAGAGGCTGAGGGAGCTGGGGGTGTTCAGTCTGAAGAAGAGGAGGCTGAGGGGAGACCTTCTCACGCCCTATAACTACCTGAAGGGGGGGTGTAGAGAAGCGGGGGTCGGTCTCGTCTCCCAAGTCACAGGAGATAGGACAAGGGGAAATGGTCTCAAGTTGTGCCAGGGGAGGTTTAGATTGGATATTAGGAAACATTTCTTCATGCAAAGGGTTATGCAGCGTTGGAATGGGCTGCCCAGGGAAGTGGTTGAGGCACCATCCCTGGAGGTGTTCAAAAGACGGGTTGACATGGTCCTCAGGAATATGGTTTAGTGATTTTTTTATTGCTTATTTCTTACTTCTTTTTTGTCAGAGTTAGGTTGATGGTTGGACTAGATGATCTTTAAGGTCCCTTCCAACCTAGACGATTCTATGATTCTGTGAAATTATTCTTTGGTACCAGGTTTGGATGGTAGGAACTTAATTTCTTCCACAGCAGTGAGATAAATCCTTGGCCTTTACTTTCAAAACACTAAAATAATCCCAAACAGATCATCCTCTTCTAGGACATCAGGGTATGGAAATGTACAGGTTTTGGTAACAAAAATCACCATCAGTTTCTCTTTAGGCTCAGGTATTCTTTGACCTTTAATAAGGAATGTCTGCCTGCTTTAAATTTAAATAAAAGGAAAAGTAACTTGAAAGTAGTCCGTAACTACCAAAACCAAATGCTTGTCTTTCATTTGAAGAAAAGCATGCCAGCTAGTGCAAGCAATTCTGTGAAAGAATAATTCCACATAGATCCTGCGTCAGCTGCTTTGATGAGGTTGTCTTTAATTCTGTATTTCTTTAAACAGAGGTTATGTCATATCAATAAAAGATGTGTACTTGATTCCAGCTCGGATGCAGGCCATGTAGCAAGAGTTGGTCTGTTTTAACAGCACAACGTGGTGCAACTTTGAATTTGAAAATGTTTGCCAAACAAAACTGAAAAGCTTTTGTAGGCACACTTTAAGACTTAGGCTAACTTTTTAAAAAGTGTCTTAGTTTCTGTTCTGAACAGAACAGTGAATTCAAGCTACTGAACTAACCTAATGCCAAACCAACCAGGTTTTTCATGCCAGGAGGGGACTGATAGCAGCTCTCAAAGAAAGGGAAAAATTAGCTTCTGAGAGCAAACCCCAAAGTTGTTTTCTTCCACTTGGAAAGGAAAACTGAAGATCTTCTCAGAATCCTTTGCAAGGTATATTCTTAAAAAGGTTGGGGGCTATTTCCTGTGGAAAATTGTTCTTGCTAAGTTGGGGCATAACAAAGCTCACGGTACAAGCAGTATTTTGGTTTTGTTTGAATATTAGATTTCTGAAACTGTTTTGATAATACTGCACATGCTGCATAATTTAAACTGGTTCTCTCAAAGGACTACCATCGGCAAACTAAAAGAGCAAACTAAACCCCAATCTAACGTGTGCTCCCAGCCTCACACAAACCGGGATACAGAAAACATTAGATCAGCGTAACCACCCCAGCCTGTTCTGGAGTGGGAGATGATGAAACTCCATCTATGTAAAGAACCTTTATGGCTTTCCACCAATATATTCTCCTTAAAGTGGTTTGTGCAAGGACAGCCAGTTGCAACAAAGATATCTGCTGCCAGAACTGTTAACTCATTTGCCCCTGAAATCTGATCGTGCTTCTTTTCAAATTCTCTGTAACTTGTGCAGCAAGGTTGCCACTCCCCAAAGGAAAAAAGTTTTTTTACAAATGACTTGCTAGAACTCTCACCGTTACCTTCAGAAATTTATGCTCCTTGTATTTGGGCCAGGATTTAGAAGTTGGGGAGAGTCTGCTCGTCTGAGAAGTGAGAGGATGCCCGATGAGACAGCATATCTCAGTGAGCTTTTGCCTGGCTGTCAGAAGTAATTAGAGATGCAATCAACACCGCTGGGACTTGGCCCAACATCCTTCAGCACATCTGAGCCGCAGCCAAACCAGGGCTGGCTTCAGCTTCTTTTTACTCAACTCACCTTCCCCAGGGAATTAAGAAAGTGCTTCAGTGTCCCCTGGTTCTGCCGTGGTCTCCCGTGTCCTCACAGCTTCTTCCTGACCTGGCTGGAGACAAAGTCCTTCTTCTGCAGGGTCTCTTTGGAGCTGACAGGCACAGAAAACCCTGTCACACGGGTGTCTCGGAGGAAAATGGTGCCTTGCATTATCTTCTTGGCCGGCTGCCACATCAGCCCCTTTTCACCCCTACCTTTCAGGGCAGTGCTTGGCGTTTATCTTGGCACGGGCACAGTCGTGTGGATGCATTTCGCACTTCCTTTAATTTGAGCCAATCTAGTGGTACCCTCACTGTCCCACTCCCCTCAGGTGACATTATTTCCAATGCATATGCAGCTGGTTTTATGAACTCGTGACTTTGCAGGTTGTTCATTTGCTTATTTTTCTTAAGTAATATAGGTATGCTTTCCTTTATAATCTCTTTTAAGCAATGAGCTACTTCTTCAGTTTCACATTTCCCAATTCGTTCAATATCATTTTCCTATGGCTGACTTTCGATTCTTTACTTGTTTGTTTTGTTTGCTCGTTTCCTGCTCGTCCCTCCTGAAATATCTCCTTTTTGGTTGTCTGTAAAACTTGGTGTTGTGTTAAATGAAAAAGCAAGAGTAGCTGTAAGGTCACAATCGTAAGAGTATAACGGCTTGGGTTCGTCAGTCTAATTGTTGTGCTTTCTCGTGGATACTGTGGAGGGTTCCCTCGAACTGAGCCGCGCAGAGGCGGTTGCCTGAAAGCAAACCAACGTTCCCGTTGCCATCCTGTGAGCTGACTGGCACAGCTCTCCTGCCTTCAGACAGACATCAGCAGGCGTCACACTGATTACGGGAGACAAGGTGACGTGGCCCAGAGTGTGAGGTTTGCAGTCATGTCCAGAGTTAGTGCCCTGCGGTGCCGGCGAAAGCCACACCAGCGGCAGAGTGTGGCTGGTCAGGGCCCTGGCCCTGGAGGAGCAGGAGCTTTCTGCCAGCCCCGCCTGCAAATGCCATGGCTGTTTTGTGGCTAATTTGCTTAACTGAGTAATTGCGGGATTCGGGGCAGGGTGGGAGGAAACTTTTACTGGAAGGAGCTTGCAGATGGTTATGAGGCTGCTCCCTCGGGGTGCTCGGGGAGGATAAAATACAGCCTGGAAAATGAACCATGGACCCACCGGCAAAGAGGGGGCTTGAAGAGCGTGTGCTGGTGTGAGAGCCTTTCACTGGGGAGAGGAGCACCAGGGAGCTCAGAGTTGGAGACGCAGTTGTGTTAAGACTTCTTTAGGTCCTGCCCTGTGTGCACTTCTCCTGGATGCAGCGAGGCCACCTGGTCTCATGCCAGGGACTTTTGTGATGAAAATGTGCTACATGTGCTCAGTGTGTTATTCTTCTATCTTCATAACTTCATTTGAAAACCTGTGTGTGGCAAACAGTGTTACTCTGGAGCAGGAGCTGTATTATACAGGAAAAGATTTGAAATCTGTTTACGGAGATGCGTTTTGCTCAGTTTGCATAACTCAAGATTTAGTTGTTGCAAAGAGTGTAATTGAGACCAAAAAAAAAGCTATTGCTGTTTCTTCCTGCTTCTTCCTCAACCCTCTGGTTATTCCTTCTGTCCCTCTTTGAGTTATTGCATAATCCTCTGGTGAGCTAAGGAGATGATTTCAGCTGTAACCAGCCTTTTAATCTTGTAATTCAAACAAAAAGTTTCAAAATCAATTGTTCTCTGTAATACAGTAACGTAAATAATCGCCCTTCTGAAGGCTGGGTCTAGGATTTTGAAATCAGAACCTTCTACCTCTCATCAACAGGCTTAAAACATACCTGCAGACATCATTGCGTGTCTCGGATTGTTATGCTTACCGAGTGTGTGAGTGTTCTTAGGTTCTCATGTTATTTTAATTTGAACAGCTCTTTAATAAGCATGTGTAATGAAGTGCCTCGTAATGATAGTGGTCTCTACTGGCTCTGGCAACTAAAGCAAGTGAATGGCTTGGATATTCTGAGGAATTAGTAATCCAGTTTATTTTCTCTCCAGTATTGCTGTGCTGTGTATTTTCTTCACCCACCCACCCATCCACGGTTAAATCTTCCGTTATTATGAACAGGAAGCTTTTCAAAGCAGGATCATTAGGGCCCTCCATTAGGCAGTTGTACTCATGTTTTCCTGATACAGTGGGATTCCTAACCTCACAGGGGCTTTTGAACATCATCACAGCATAAATGATGATAAAATATGTTTCTTAAATGTTTCCATGATATACGCTACTCAATGAAACTGCCAGTTTGGAGTAAAATTTAATAGGCTCTCAAGATGAATAATAATTGAGAAATATTTTGTGCACGTTTGTGTGTATATTTATATTTATATATGTTTTAATACCAAAGGAACTGAAGCTTTACTAACTGGAGGGCAAAAAACAATCTACTTTTCTTTTTTCTTTCTGCCTTTTCTAGGGTCTTTCTCTAACTCTGGCAGCAGATGCTACAAGATCACCAGTGATGACTAAGAATTTTGCTGCTTTATTGCTGAAAGGGGCTGAAGCATTTAGATGTGAGGCAGCTGATCCGGCCAAACCCCACTATATCTGTTAGTCAATGTAACAGCAAAAGTGGCCTCCATGGGAGAAAATGGTAAGAACTGTTTTCACATTGTGACACAAGTATTTGTCCTAAAAATTGCATCAGCTGCTTTGTCTGATTCATGGTCATGTAGTGAATACTGTAGTTATCAGGTGTTTAAGATATGTGTTATAAATAACAAAACAAATATTTAAGGAGTATACAGTCAAAGGTTTGTTTTTGAAAGTGTATTTATACAAGAAAAGATGACCACTTAAATTGTGTGCTGTCTTATTATTTTTAAGAACAAATCTGCATAGATGGCTTTTCCAGAGAACTGGTTGAATATAGTTTCAGGAGGATTTGTGATGTGCCCCAGAAAATTCCCTCCACCTCAGCCAGGCCCAGCACCCTGTCTCACTTCAGGTTGTGATCATGATGAATCTGGCATTTTTGAGCTACTGGTAATCCCAGAATTGGCAATTTTGCCAGAGAACCCCCAAGCAGAAAGACTGATGGGTATTGCCTGGGTGTGTAATACTCTTTCCTCCTACTCACCATGACCCTAAAGTCTCAGGACACGCTGTTAGTGATGGCTCTACAGCTGGAATAACAAATGGAATCATGTACTTCGAGAAGTCAGGATGAGTTTTGCCCCTGTTTTCACCTGCCCAGAATCTTGCATCCTAGTTTTCCTATGGATTTCAGCTCCTTATGTCCTTAGAAATGAGGTAGTGGTGTTAATACAGGAGGACAGACACAGTCCAGGGACGTTGGCTACTTCAGAAAATGTTCATTATACGTGCTGCTTATATTTCATGAGGTGTCTTTGAACTGTGTATCCAACCTCCATTTGGTTCCCTGAAATGCCCCTTGGTTTTTGCTTCTTTTTTTTGTTTCTAAACTTGTGCCTAAGTTCTGCAAATATTTGGATAATATCATTTTAGCTCCACGTCTGGGATTAGGCCCGTTGCCACTTTTTGCCATACACCATGTTAATTATTTTCTCTGCAGACGGCGTGTTAGCTTGTAACCTCCAGGTTAAGGGCTGGGGATAAATTCCAAATCTTATTAGTCAAACTTTATTTCTCTCCATGTGTTGTTGATTCCATTTCAATCATCCACAGAGCTGTATAAATACCAACATGGGTAACCATAATTTAAAAGTAAAATCTCAGGGCTGACTTTCCTAAAATGAAACACATGTTAGAGTTTTACTACAACTGAGGTTTCAGAAGTTTTATTTCAGTTCCAGGCTGTTTTTGGAAATTCTTCATGGTGCAAGAAATTCAAGCTTTAATCCTTATGATTACTTTTTTGAGAATGCTGTTTCTTCTTTTGTGGTGTTACATAAAATAGAGGCTGTGAATAGCTGTCTAATGGTCCCAGAGCCTCAGAACAGCCCCAGAAAATTTTACCAAAGACATTCTGTTGATAGTTACATTCTCAACTGTTGCTCTGTCATCTTACTAGAAACTTAACAAGATAAATAAATTGGAACATGAAGTAAGTATATATCTGGAGTAATGCAATTCTGAAATAGGGAAACTGGCCAAGACATGTCTAAATCTCTCTCAGATACATAGCTGAGAGCTGAAGAAACGGAAAGATTTCCACTAAGGAGAGTGTGTGCACATAGATATATCTAAGTTCTGGGTAGAAGCCAGAAGACTGGACACTTCTGTGTCTCAAAAAATATAAGGTGTCTCACAAAGATGTGGTTCAAGAGCAGCAGGCTCAATGCTGGTGTAACATGGGCTGAATCCGAGGAGCAGGATCCGTTACGGCGTAGCCATGGCAGTGTGTCAGTGTGGTGTTACTCAGCTGCTGGCTCTGCTGCCTGGGACGGAGCTGCTTTTACTCTTGGCAAGTGTCAGCTGCCTTGACCTCAGACACCAGTGTCTCTCCCTGACATTATGTCCCGTTCCTCGGGGTGTCGTCAGGGCTTGGGGCACTCGGGGCTTCTCCTTGAACTCCTGTGAAGATGCGATTCGAGCGGGACCACGCCACTGACCTTCACATGTTCCACCTTGGACTTCCTGCAGAGCCAGAGGAGAGAAATGCTTAGAGTACTTTCAGGCCTAAGTTAAATTCTTGTGCTGGAAGTGGGGTTACGCTGCAGGGTACAGCTAAGCAATCTAAAGGGAATCACCCTCCGGAGGCACCTCGCTCTCTGCAGTAGCCTCTTACTTTAGGTATCAAAATGAATGTCTAGTATTGGGTGACAGGGTTATCCTACAGCCCATAACAGGGCAAGGCATGAGCATTTAGGAAACAAATTTCTTAACCAGTGACTTATCTCTAAAGGACTCAAAAATAATGGCTCTTTGACAATAGCAAGTGGCCCAGGGCGTTTCCTGTTTTGGTCTGAGTTCATCTTTTTCTTTTTCTTTTTTAAGCATTTATTTTTATTAGTATTTCAGGCTGGGCACTGCCCATGCTGCAGGAAAAACAGAAGGCAGGGACCATAATAGATGCTAGACATCTGTCCTGCCCAGAATGAAGTCATGCTCCTGAAAAGAAGAGCCTGTATTGGTGCTGTGCAGTCGGACTACAGTGCTCTTTGCAGCCCTGGGAGAGAAACACAGTCTTTTTACCTCAAAGTGAACCAGCAGATGATGTTCGCTCTCCACAACTCCCTGAAAGGAGGGTGTAGCCAGGGGGGGGTCGGTCTCTTCTCCCAAGGAACAGGCAATGGGACAAGAAGAAATGGCCTCAAGTTGTGTCAGAGGACGTTTAGGATGGATATTAGGAAAAAAATTTGTACTGAAAGGGTTATTAAGCATTGGAAGAGGCTGCCCAGGGCAGTGGTGGAGTCACCATCCCTGGAGGGATTTAAAAGCTGGGCAGAGGTGGTGCTGAGGGACATGGGTCAGGGGTGGTTTGGGCAGTGCTGGGTTGATGGTTGAAAGGTCCCTTCAGACTTGATGATCTGAAAGATCCCTTCCAACCTGGCCAATTCTATCATTCTATAAAAGATGAAGAAATCTCTTGAAGTCTCAGGTGCTTCCGATTAATAAGCAGCTAATATTTGTAACACATTCTTACACCGTTATTTCCAGCCAAATCAACAAGTAGCTCTCCATAGCCAAAGAAGAGGTGGGAGAGCAGAAGATGGGCAGCAGTGCTGGTGGGACAGAGGGGCAGGGCTGTGTCTTTTCTGTCGGGCCGTCGTAGGTGGGCTCCATGGCCCATGGAGTTGCCTCTCTGGCAGTTCTTGAGCAAGGAGTCAAAGAGGCAGGTGGCTGGGCTGGATGGCAGCCTTCGGGCACATCCAGACTTGCAGAGCGGAGATAGGGAGGATTTCCAAACATAGCTCCAAATGCAGTTCTCAGTTTGGCACTGCCCTGCCCCATGTTGTCACAACACGCTGCAGCCCGGGGACAGGCAGCGTTTTGCAAGAGGCCAGGCTTCCCCACCGAAAGGCTGCTGGCACCTGAGAGCTGAAGAAATGGAAACCTTTCCACTGAAATGCTGGGTGTTACCAAGCTCTGGCTGATCCGACCCTCCATACTCAGAATAAACCCCAAAACTGAGATGTAAATGGTGGAATCCCATCATTAGTTACTGGGGTTTGTGCACCTGAGTTGCCCGTTGCTGCCTCAGCAGATTGCAGGACCTGCCTGCAGTTCCTCAGGTGCTTTTGTGTGGTGATGCCAAGTCGTGCTACCACACTTCATCACGTATGTGGGGGCACTGAAGCACACACACGCGTTTATAAAGCACCATCAGATCTTTCTGGGTGAATGGCATTATAAAATGAAGATAATTATTCCAGAAATTAATCCAAATAGTCTATGTAAAGCAGATTTTGGTATTGTGAAAAGAACTAAAACATGCAACAATTTAGGGGTAAGGGAGGAATCCTTTTATTTTAAGGATAGTATTAGTATAGTATAAAGTTAGAAATGAGTCATTCTCTAAATCATTTCTAACTGGGTGACTCATGCACTTGGCAAATTAATTATCCAAGAAAAATGACTCAGGAATAGATGCTGTAGTTTTATTATTGTTTTAATCAGATGGCTATTGCTGTTACAAATAAACATGAGGCTGGATTTCAGGTATAACAAACGTAGCTGTACCCTGCAAGTTCTGCCACGGTGCTGCTCGAGGATGTGTTACACATGCCACATTTTTTAATGTGCTTTTTTGTTTTCCTTTTCAGGTGGATGGTGTAGCAAGTTACTGGGTCTCGAAAGGAGCCATGGCCACTAAGAGTCTCAGCAGTGAACTGATGTGGTATGTATTTCTTTCTCTCCATGAACTGTGATTTATTAAAGCCTCACCACAGGAATGTTCCTGTGAATAAACGTTTCACCTCAGAATTCTTAATAAATTGGTTGATGAGTATTATTGAGAATGTTATTGATATGGGGACGATGGGAAGCTCCATGCCATCTTGGCTTGGGATGGTTGTAGTACCATGTTGTTGGCTGTAACCCTCTCTGTTTTGTTTCTTTTTCTCTCCCTGCCCTTCTCCCTGGCTGCAGTTTGGAAGGTGGTATCACAATGTGGGGCTGAGCTGATGAAACGACAGCTAATGCCGACGCCTGCCAATGATGGGAAGAGAACACAGACCTCAAACTTGGGATCACTGGCCTTTTATTAGGCAAGTCCATTGCTCATCTTCCCCTTTCCCCCCGGTTCCCTTTGTTCCCGTTCTTCCTCTGGATTATTAACTCATATCAAAGTTCAGTGTCACTGCTTGCCGGGGATCCAGTTTCATTTGGCTCTATGTATCCTCTTTCCTAAACAAGTCAGGTGTTACCTCCATGTTGGCCAGTCATCAGGCAATGAAAATGTGGAACACTATTTCATTGTAATAGTCCTGAAGGATTCCCAGCTGAAGGAATGGAGGGGACACTCTGGCACATTTCAGTGAGATCTTCATGTTTCCCAACTATGATTCTTTAACTGAGAGTTGAAGTTTCTAGTGACATTAGAAATCATTGATGTTTGTTGCAGATGCCTATACATCCCTACTCTAAAAAAGCAGGCTGTTTGCTAGTACAGCTGAAATTACTCCTGCACTGGGACAGGAGGACTACTTAAGAAAACTGTAGTCTTAAGTAGTACTTTCTATTTATTTATTTTGTTCCATTGTAAATATAGTAAACAATAGATTAAATAACTATTGACGTAGAGAATAACAAATAATTTCAAACAAGGACTTCAAACAGCGTGATTTGAGGTCAATAACCTCTGTGCCCAGAACTTTGATCATGCTGGTGACAGCCAAATGACATAACTTTATGTACATGCTTTTCACTGAATTCTACAAGCAGAACAGCAAAATGTCAGTGACGTGAAAACATGTTTCTAATGGGCCAAGGGAGCTTCAACAAGGGAAGCTGATATTGATGAGTTAATTTGCTGCAACTGCAAGCAGGGGTGGGTTTTTTATTTGTGTTCTTAATCGAAATGGATCCTGTTTTCAATGAGCAGCAGGAAGGAGGAGTCTTTCCAGGGCCCTGCCATATCAGAGACAGCTTGTTCTGCCTGATGAAATCTAGGTTTGACTGCTAATTGGCCAACCCGAAGCATCGTTAGATTTCTACCCAATTTTGCTGAGGTTGTAACTTCTGGGGAACTGAAGCTGTGTCTTGAATCTATGATTGGCTGAGAAAAATGAGGAATCTTGTTAAGAAAATTAAGATATTCTGATGTTTTTCAAACAGAAGTCTTTCAGCTTTCTAATACAGCACTGCCCCTGGCCAGGCAAACGAGTTAACAATCTGAAAATGACTGCAACTAAATTTTCCCGTTGAGGGGCATGGGTATTTTAACTTCTGGTTTGGGTCAGACTGATCCAAATACGGGTTTTAGTTTGGAGGCAAAACCTGTCTGCAAGTCCCTTCTCAGCTCTCTCACTACTTCTTGTTTTAGCATTGTTGCTTTTGTTCCTTTAAATGGGAGGTGAGAAGAGCAGTTCTTCACAGTTGGTGAAGTGTCTGAAGATCTGTGGGTACAGAGCACTATGGAAGTGCAAAGTGTTTAAATTCAGAACTATGTGAATGTCATCTTCCTTTTTCCTTAGGCCAGTCTGTGCTGTGACTGAGATCAGTCTACTTATCATCAAATTTCTACTTGGCTGGTTAATAGGGGGGAGAATTGCATTTTTCTATTTTAACCACAGACTTTTTAGTTCACTGAAACTAGGGTTCCAGCCCGATTTCTCTCTGCAGGAAAGAGAGCTTTTTTTTTTTTTTTTTTTTTTTTTTTTAAATTATGTTTTCATTAATCAGGTAGTCTTTGCTAATCCTGTGAAAACAGTGGTGATGTGTCAATCCAGTGCTGTTTGCATTTGCCTCAATGGGAATGAATCCACTCTGCAAACGACTTGGTTTATGTAGGTGGTGTTTAATTTATATGTTCTGGGAGAACGTGGGAATGAATCCACTCTGCAAACGATTTGGTTTATGTAGGTGGTGTTTAATTTATATGTTCTGGGAGGATCTAAGGTCTGAAAACTGTCAATAAGGAGGAGGTCGTAAATCAGACGGCTTTTATTGGTTTAGGATTTTAGGTCAGGCGTATCAGTTCCAGTTTATACGGGGTTTCAGTTGTGGCTGTGAATGTTGTGTCATTTGTGGGGATTCTCTTATTTGCAGTCCTTGCCCAGGGACGCCTGGTGACCCCTGCAGCAGCATTTTCATCTGCTGGGGTGGCTGCACCTTCCTCTGGGCTTATCTGCTTGTTCGCTTTGGTTTTTCTTCTCCTTTCCTTCCAGGAGGAAATGGAGTGAAGATAAGCTACATGTCTCCTTTGGTGTTGTAAGTCACTTTTATAAATGGAGGAAAAGCAAATCAATTGGTGCTTATTACTTTTAGAGCAGTCGGGCAAAAAGTAGGAGAGATTGATATCTTAGCCCTATCAGTTTTGTTTTTAGTGGATATGGTTTTGGATAAGGCTTTGGTAAACAAAAATGGTATCTTTGTCTCCTGTTGTACAGAGGTACACGATGCGTGTCTTTTGTCTCCCCATGGTTGAAATGGCTGGCACCAAAAGTAACTGGGTAGCTTCTTTTATCTGACTCCCATGTCAAAAATAAGGCTAAATGTGTCAAATTTGGCTAGCAGTGTTCATGAGATTGAGGAGTCTGATTTACCATTCTTGGGTAGAAAGAACAGTAGATGTGTATAATTAGGACTTGAGGTGTGAGTGTCAAAGTGGTGCTTTGGTCCCAAGGTGTTCAGTCCTGTGTTACAGGGTAACAGAAATGTTTGTTTCTTAGACCCTTTCAGGTTAATCATTGATTCAAAGAACTTGTTTTGATGACCCAGATGGTCTGTTTGAGTCTTAAATTCCCATTAGACCAAGTTTGTGTTTCTGCTAGTTACATTTTATTACAAGAAAACAAATATTTTGGTGACACTGAGATTCCTGCAGTGAAACACAAGTTGCCTTCTGTGCAGGACAGACCCTGGACATTACTTTCTTTTGGGTTTTTTTCACAGCGTATCAAATGAGAGGACAGAAGTCTATGATTATAGTTCTGTTTTTCTTTTTTTTGTGTGTGTGTACATAGTTTATATTGACCTTGTAAAAACCTGAAAGCTCTAAATTGGCCTCGTGAACAAAACAAAAGGCATTGCACAGGACAAACTCTTCACTGTAATATTTACTCTGAAAGGTCACCAGTCCCCGAAATACCAGAGGATGTAGCTACAGCAAACCAGCCCAGTGTTAGCCTCCTGTTCTGTTGTTTCCCTTCTTTGGTACTAGGTAGTTGGAGCCTTTAGGAACAAATTTGTCATTTATAGCACAGCCCCTTCCTACACAAGTCTCTAATTCTTTGCAAACATGGATAAAAAAGATATTTATATCAAGATTAGCGTATGAGTTTTGTTGTCTGTGGTTTCAGCTTAATCTCACAAGGACATATTGAATGTTTTTGCAGCATCAAAACCCTAAACAAATCTTTGGCTTATCTCTCTGAAAGCAAAGTCATATTGTTCAAGTACAAAAGTTTTACATCCAGATTATTTGTGGTGTTTGGACTTAACCCCGTGCTTAAATGCGCATCCAGACCCAGGCGCCTGCTGCTGGGGGGGGTTGAGGAGAGGTACCAACACTGTGTCTATTTCCCATTTACGCTCATTCCCATCTGTGGCCTAGTTTGGAAGAAGGAAAATCAAAGCTGTGTGTTGTTTCTGCCCTATGAGGAGAGGTACCAACGCTGTGTCTATTTCCCATTTACACTCATTCCCATCTGTGGCCTAGTTTGGAAGAAGGAAAATCAAAGCTGTGTGTTGTTTCTGCCCTGTGCTGGGCACTTCCTACACATTCAGCCAAGCAAAATGAGTCTGAATACACATGTGAAGGTAATTGGCCATGGGGAAGCAGTCAGGAGCAAAGGCCATGGTTTTCTCTACCAAATGCTCTGCTACTTGTTGCAATCATTTCTATTTTTTTTTGTGATGATGAACAGTATTTCTCAATCGGTGGGTTGAGAACTTGCATGTTTTCCAGTTACATGTTGTATATTTAAGTTCAATAGTTAAACAGCAGTACAGTAAGCCAGATACTTTGGTGGCAGATAGAGTGGATGGGGGCAAAGGGGAGTGTATTTGAAAGAAGACTTTTACCTTTTTTATATCCCTGATAGTTTGAATCCGTTACCTGGCTTTTCCTTTGTTACAAAATCTCTGCAAAATAGAGACTGTGGCATGGAAAAAGGATGATTCACCTCCGACACCTACTTCATCTTCACTGGCTTGTACTCCTAAGAAATAATCAAGGACTAGATTTTAAATGTTTACTAATTTGGGGACTTCTATTTGAAATGTCTGAACTAGGGCACTGAAGGCTTTTTGTTTGCTGTAAAAGATGGGCACCACCAGCTCTGCCAGGGATCAGTTAAAGTTGTGGCCAGTAAATGTAGCTGCAAGTGGAGGTGGGATGTCTGGGGAACACGGAGAACCAGAGGTGTTGGCAGGGAAGGCTTTCCAAGGAAGAGGTTCTGGCTGTTCTGTGACTGCTGCCTGGGGTTTTTTTCGGTTGGGATGAACGAGGGAACCACAATCTCTAACCTCAGCTCAGAACTGCCAGAAGGAAACTGTTGAACTGCCAGAGGGAAACTGCATGGCCACAGGGATGGGCAGGCTGGTCAGACGACTTCTGACTCTCATCCCCAGACTAGGATATTGGGTTTAGATATTTGTCATGTCCTAGTCCAGATAATTCTTTCCAGGTAGCATCTGTACTGCCTGTGAGGACACTCAGCTGGGCACTCAGGAGTTCTGTCTGTGCCTTCTTTGTCATCAGGGAAGTGAGAGAAGGTTCCTCCTGAGGGCTGCTGAGACCACCAAAGCAAAGTTCCTGCTCACACAGGGCGCCTTTCCCCATCTTCCTCTCCCTCATTGGAGACACACCAGCTTCAGCTCTGAGCAGGCAAACGGGGCTTTTCTTCAGTAAATCAAGTTTAAGTGTCACAGAAGGTGTAATCAGAGGGAGCCTGCACCAGGAGGTGGGTGGGGAGGGAAGGAACTGATGGGCTCAATAGAATCTTTCTTGGCCTCAATCTGGCAAGGATTTAGGCATCTGATGGAATTTATGCCCTTCCTCTGTCATCTGCGGTCGGTGTCCCCTCTAAGGAAGGAGGATGCT